CACAATCGATCACGGAATCCGGGGAAGAGAGTACATCCTCCTACGAGAGATATATTCTGCACCAATGCTGGTCGTAGATTCACAGGACATCGGGACAACGATTCAACGACAGCTTCCACCACTCCCATTTGATTGAGACCAATATCCGACGGGCTGTAAAGCAATATGTAAGAAGATTCAAACTGTAAAATAAGGGTTACTAGTAAGAACAGGCAGTAGAAACTCAGAAAACAAACTGGAAGAGAATCTCCGGCAGAGCAAAGCGTTCTCTATTTATAGTTATATGTTGCGGAGTATCTTCTGGAAGCGAGAACTTCCCCATGTTAGACGGTTCCCTCAAATAACCACGAAATAATCGACAAAAATCTGGCAGCACGTATTCACGGCGTATCGTGTTGCGAGCATCGCGATATCTGGAAAGAATTTCGAGTGAATTCTTGAAATATCAAAGAAATATTAAAAAAACAAGAAACCTATGGACATAAGCGAGGACCTTGGAAGAGAAGAAAATCAAGCTAGACCTGTGGGTACTCACTAGCGAAGAGATGTAGAATAATACAAGCTCTCACATACTTGATTCAGTTGCTCCAACGTATTCCCAGCGAATAATAGTAAAAGGGAAGCAGAGGGTTTGAAATCTATGAAAAAACATCATAGAACACAGTTTCTTTTTGCGGCGTTGCCAGTAACATGGCCAGAGTAGTAACAAAGTTATTCCTGCCAAGCAAACAGAGACAGAGGTGAGAGCTTGGAAAACAAGCTCCCATCATTCAAAAAACGTAGTGAAGAACCACTTTGGAACACAAGCTAGTTTTTCGGTTCGAACGCGTTCATTGCATGCCGTCGATTATGAAGCAAACTGCGCTTTACGTACACTGCGCTATTCTTTACGCGCCTTTACGCGTATTGGGACCAGACGTGCTCGCACTTCGAGGGTCCAGTGATATTTTCTCGAGGCATCTACCAGTCCAGTAGTTCAAGGGAGAAGGTAAAGGAGGAGGGATCAGAGAAGGAGGAAGGAAAAGAAGGAAGGAGGAAGAAAAAAGGAAAGAGAAGAGAGGCTTCCCGGTTGACAAGTGCCCTGGGGCGAACATAGTAGTTAAAAGTTTCGGGATGTGCAAGGACTAACACTTCTGTTTGCAAATGTGGAATCTGCGAAGTTCATTCGTCTCATTATCACACTCCATATCCAGGAGATGAGGAGGGCGTGGCCGTGTACACCGTTTGAAGTATGCTTTTTTCGAAGGATAGTTCTATTCGAGGTAATTCTCACCCTAAATTGTCTGACAAAAACAAAAATGGTCCAAAACACCAATCTACTACCAAAGATGCAGCCGCCGCCACGCCCAGATGAGTACATGAGCACGCCCTCCCTTTCCACTTCAGATATGAAGTATCAAGCGGTCTCCGTGCTTGTGATTACTTTCGGCTTCCCCACCCTAACCTGCATTTCAACGTTCTATTACCATCTCTTTTCACTCCATACTTCTAAAATGTGGAAAACCGACGATTCAGAATGCAAATCGCATAGAGTGGCAGGAGGACACCAAGCCCAGATACAGAAAGAAAAATGAACAAGGAGATATCTGTAAGCGTGAAAAGAATGAGAATTATGTCACAATGCTCATTGAACACCTAGCAGGCAAGAGAGCACAGATGAGAGCACTTTCTTGCCTACACAGAGCGGTAGACCGATGAGGTTAAGAGGACTGACCAGGAAAGGTCATCAGGTCAGCCCGGCCATTTCCAATGAGCTGCACACCATTGTACGCGTCTGGAACCCTTGAACTCAGAATTCTGTTACTTTCAAATTTGGCCAGACTATTCTCTGAACGGAGTTTATGGAGGGTTTTATCCCGCCATGTGTCGTTTCACATGTACCGCCGAGGAAACATGGCGCAAAGCGTTACTATTCAAAATTTGCCTGGAGGTCGGTCTGAAACGTGCCGTAGCAGCGCGTCCAACGGTAGACGCGTTTCTCACAGACCGTATTAGATCGCCTCCGCGGGTCCCCTTCTTGCATTTGTCATAGCATAGCCGACAAAATCTGACATCTCCTGCTTGCCTGCCCAGCCTGTAAATCTCGATCGACGTTTTTTTTGCGAAAGTGTGACTCAGTTGTGGAACCCAGCCCGCGGAACCCCTTTGAAACTTCTGAAAGGCAGTGCTCTGCTTGTACCCCTCGTACACCTTCACATTTCGATGAATCATCCTTATTCATGTTCAGCGGGTTAGATTACCCGTCGGGCCAAGTTTCTAGCCGAATCCGATGTTTTGGCCTAACTTGGAAAATGTGGGCTATTCCATGGGTAATTAGCAGCAGATTGGAGCTCACCTAACATCGATGACCCGCTGGTCTCAAAATGGGATTTCCTCTCGATAGTCAAGAACATGATGCAGACGGCACAAATAAGTAAGCCAGGTACAGGTACTGTTCTTTGCGGAAAGACATGAGTTATTTCAGCTCGAAGACCAGTCATCACCAGTATGCTAGCCGTAATATCGCTGTTGGCTACCAGTCAGCCATGACTATCCATACCCCATTTATTTTGGAGTTGACTCAGAACCTCAGATTTCGCCAAGGTAACGTCCCTAGGGGTTATGTGAACCCCTAGGGACGTTACCTTGGCAACCCCCTGAACACGAATATGATACCTGTTTTGCGCGAAGAGCGCTGTGAGTCGCGCTACATGTGCCAACGCTTCGGCGCCAGCCCGTAAGAAGAAAAACAGTAAAGAAAAACCTCCATAACTCCGCTCAGAGAATCGTTCTGCAAATTTTGAAGACAGTTCTGAGTTCACGTGTCAAGATGAGTACAGTGATGTGCATCTCACCAAGCTGACCTGTTGACCTTTCCTGGTGAGTGGAAGTAGTCCGTTCTTATTCTCATAGCACTAGAAACTGCGTTCCTAAATTTTCTTTCACAGTAAGAAAGGAAAAGCCCTTAGAAGTGAAACGTGTTCGGTCACCTGAGCAATCAGAAGAGCACTCCGCTTCATTTGGTATGAAATTTTCAACATTGTCGGAAGGACATTCAAGGACCGCTTACTTTGCTGTCTTCATATCCCTATTGAAATCCAGAGAAACGAAACAGGCATCTTCCTTGCACTGATTCATAATGTATGTTTCTTCAAGAACATTCAGATCACGATATGTTATCCATTCCTTCAGTTGATTTGTCAGTACTTTTCCACCAACATCGATCCTTGAATAAAATAGAAGCTAAAAAAGAAGCCACGAATGAAATTACGAGGAATCCTACCGTACGATGCCCTGTTGAATGGCCTTCCCATCAAGGAATGGAGCTACAGTGACACATGAGAAACCGCAATCAACAACCAGAGCACAGCGAATATTACGACACGATCCCTCCAAGGCGATGAAACCGGCAGCTATCAAGGCAATAATTTTAGATATATAGTGTGAGCAACAGTCCCAAGGAAAAGAGTAGTTGAGGGAAGACAGAGGCGGCAGCCACAGCTGGCTTCTACTCTCAACAAGGCAGTGTTTGGAAATGGTTACCCACCTGACGCCTTGAAAACCGAGTGAAAA